ATTGAACCATGGTAGATCGTAGGATAACCCTTGAGATGTTACATTTACAATGCTCCCTCCCAGCTGTGGAGGCGTCAGCCTATCAACTTCGTGGTTGTGGCTCAGTTGCCAATTCGGGATAAAGTCTCTAAGCAGACCGACATATGTGGGCACTAGGACCGAGAAAAACACGATTGTGGAATTCCGAAATATTTCGGAATTCCACAATCGAGTTTCATGTTGTGCATATAGCTGCAGAGCGTGCATATCAGCAAAGTTGGACTCAAACCGGCATGGGACTAGAGTTGGATAGTGCTCCAACCAAATTCGAGATTATGATTGATTATATAATGAATTTGGAATTAGTTATAATTACATAATAATTAAATTTTTGATATTTTTATTATTTTAATTTTCGTTTTATGAAATTGGCAAAAATTCCAAATTTGGAATGCAATGCATGCAGTAAAATGCGGAAATTATTTTTTGCAAAAATAGCAAAAATAAAATCCAAATATAGAAAAAGCTAAGCAAACTTGAAATGGAAAGAAACCCCGAAATGAAATGAAAGCCTGAAATGAAAAGGATAAACTTACCAGAAACTTACCGGAAACCAACCAATGTCACGTTACCAACGAAATAAAACAAAATGGATCATGCTAATAAGCCAATTCGAGAGAAAGAACGACAAGGGATATCAGACCAGTGTAATGGCGATCATGTGAAGGCACCCAGCAACCATCTGTTATCATTTGTATAAGTGTGTTAGTAGTGTTCATCTTCCAATCCCCCATCCCTTATCCTCAATTCAACATACCTAGTAACTCGTTTGATCAGTAGCTTTTCTGCTTCTCCCAGACCAATCATTGCCTTCAATTTTCGTTAGTGGTAGAGGTGACTCTTCGTGGTAAGAACAGGTGTTCCTTGAGTCGAATGTACTGGTTGAGTACATACAACCAAGTACTATAGGAGGATAGCATCAAGCATGCTTAATTGTTTCAAGCCAAAGCTCCTTGAAGTAAACTTGTTCCCATGGAGTGATTAGAAGGAAGGCAGGGAAAACATTTATGAAAGATTGGGAGCTACTTTTATACTCTTTGGCTACGGAGGACAGGTGGGTATGGCGACTTCGGTGGGTATGGCAACTAAGGTGGGTATGGCGACTTAGGTAGCATCGTCCAATCAATCGTTTACTTACTTCAATGTTTACCTGTTTACGAAGGTTTGTTTACAAATTGTACATTTTAGGAACCTGTTTTAGGCCATCTATGCGCCTTTTTAGGACATTCCGTCGATCCATGCAGCAAGGCGTTCCCAATTGGGTTGTCTGAAAGCTAGAACATCATAGCGAATCACCGTACCGAAGCCGCTACAGATCAACTTGTTAAACGTGATATCCTAGACCGTCTTATAGCTTTGAATCTATCAGTGATAGTTCATGACCATTGAAGAACTTGATGGGCTTTAATTTAGCTCCTTAGCTGGGTGCTTTTATTGCTTGTTTTGAGCATTTTACAACACAAATAGCTCTTTAACTTTTCTGATATATAATGGACGTGTTTTTCTTAAGTAAATATTCAAATCTCGCCAAACAAAATTCTTAAAAGATAAAACCAAATCTAACTTTAGTATACTATAGACCACGAGTTTAGTGTTTAATGCATTAACTGTGTCAGTTTATTGTTACAATGTCTTCTTTAAAGAGGAACAAGTAGACTATTATGTGTTGAGTGAGAGATTCCGCAGCTGCCCCTACCACTTAGTTTTTTCGCAAAATCGTAGTTTACAGTGTATATACACTACTGTGCACTCCTATTTACATAGTGACAGAGACTTCTCCTTATGTGATCAGGGATTACAAGACGGGCCCTTGCAGGATTCCAACCTCCATGGAGGATTACTATTTCATAGTGAGTGTGAACCAACAGATCCAAAGAGTGGCTTCATTCAAATTCAGATGTCTAACTTCAATCAGTTCGAGTTCATGGCTCACAATGAATTATAACTAGTTAAGATATCGCTTCTCGCAGCTTATATAGTTTACAAGTCTAATGCGCTTATTGCTCGACAAACATCTCAGATTCATGTAGATATCGCTCAGGTATGGCTTTCTAAGCATAATTACATGTCTCGAAGCTGTTACTCAATGTGTTTCCTATGTATTTACACTGGTGACTTGTCTTTAATAGAAATCAACGGAGCCGTTGTGGTAACCACCGCCCGTACTTAAAAAGAATATTTGGCCCCTCAAGGTTGTGAGCCTTGAAGAAAATCTATCAAACAGGTCTGGAAAGTCCGAAATCCAGTTGCGAGTCTGTGGTTTTCACCTTTCTGACCTTGAATCTGCCAATTTTCACCTATTTTCCCGTGCAACTACCAATTTTCAAGTCCTAGCGAGGTCAATCTGCCAATTTTCAAGTCCCAGCCCGGTTAGTGTGGCAAAAGTTTTACCTATTTGGCCGCGATTTTGCCTTTTTCACCAACCTGACACCAAAATCCCCCCAAAAAATTCCGAGGTTTTCATTTTTTCCATCCTTAACTATGGGGAGGTCTCGGACTTTCCAAAAACCAAATATTTAACTATGCGGCGAAAAAAAATTAGTATGGTGAGGTGGCCGTTTTGCCGGGCATAGTGGGGTTAGATGCACCCTCAACCGAGGTATCTACATAA